ACATTACACATTTTCATATTTGGATTCATCCTCCGAATTTGACCAACCCTTCCCGTCCTTGTAATGAGTATGTTTGAAAAAGGAAACCCTATCACATTGATTTTTTGGAAGTGTCTCACCACTTGGTAGAACTTGTTTCAGTAACTCAAGCAACATGTCAAATGATTTATTGCTCCACTTATTCTAAACCTTCAAATGGAGCAATTTAACTACGAATGATAATGTGGTGAACTTTGAACAACCTAGATATAATTCTTATTGTGCTTCGTACAATAATTTATCAAAAGACTTAGCTCTATGGTTTGTGTCATCTCTCATATAATTCCTTCTAAAGTTTTCAAAGTCATTTAGCATCTCATTAATTCCATCATCCTCTTCATCATCATTATGTGTCTCTCCAATATGGAAGTTATCATTATGGTAACTAGAACTAGCATTCTAGAATCAAAATTAGAGTGTTCCTTATGATAGATCCATTGAGTATAATCCATATCTATCCCTCGAATTAATAAATGATCATAAACCACATTCGACTCTTCATATAAAAATTTAAACAATCTACACATGGCACCTAATTTCACACTTTCTCCCTAGATTATCTTCCATGAATTTCATAAAAGACTTAACTCCTTCTACATATCGAGTCAAGCATTTTTTTTCCTTCATCCAAGTCTTATCCATTGTTAAATGCCTATCACAAAAGACCAAATGCATACTTTAGTAGGTTATAATGCAAACGTAGGTTATGTTTCAATTCAGTCTTCAAACAAAATAAATACTAATGTGACAAACTAAGTATAGATAAAACCTACAAATGAGAACCCATGTCTAGAAATGGATGCAATCGAAGAAAAAACTAGTAAATATACAAAATGATTGACACAAAACTATAAAAAAAGAAAAAAGGAAAAGCATTCTTCACGAACACCTACATCTCCAATTAAGCATCAAATAGAAGCACACACACAACGAATAAAGGAAAGTTAAACATATAAATTAAACAAGAATTCATAAAGCATGAAATATAAGCATACCTCAACCAATACGCAGACCAAGAAACCTTTCGATAAGTCGGAGAAAGTTGGTGAATTGCTAGTTAAAAACCCGTATCCAGATTTTTTTTTAATAAGAACAAAACCGCATACTCAAACACTAGTCTTTTCTTATTAGAAGGCAACCCCAAACACAAATGTCTTTATTATTTTTTAATTAAAAATCCCACACATAGTCCCAAGCATGGAAGCCTTGCATTCTAGCGAGCAACCTTGTTAGCTGGGCCGGCTCGCAGCGGCCTCGTGTGTTGGTAAGCGATGTACTTGTGGGCTAGCTCGCAGACGGCCTCGTTGTGTGCTCGGCTCGTAGTAGGCCTACTAGTAGGCGGTGGCGAGCCTATCGCAAGCCGACGAGCGGACAAGTAGCCTACCGTGTGATCAAGAAAACTCCAAATGGCAAAACAACAATAAAAGTGCGGATGGATTTGATGATATTTACCTACGAGGCGAATGTATTTAGAAAATGAGTAGTCTACCGCAAATAAGCAATCAACATAGATCTAATAAGCTCATGCTACCGCTCTTCCAAGTTAAACTTGTTCCAAGCTTCCTAAAAATAAAACACCAATAAAATGATAAGAATACACATATTAGCAAGAATGTCCATGGTTGAAGTCTTTGTTGCCTCGAGCAGCCGGATGGCAAAACCATTACCTTCGAAGATCAAAGACCTTCTCATATATGTACTTCGCTGAATACACTGGACCCCGTTGTTGGAATTTGTCAAGATGAACATAAAGAGTGGCTTCCTATAAGCTTTCTTCTACTCGCTGAAGTTATTACTTCAATCAATGGAATCGGCTACTACCACTATCGGACCCAAGGATCCGCAACAAATTAAGAAATAGTTCAAGGAACATTGTATATGCAAGATTAAATGAAAATTAAAGAAAGGAGGCTAGAAATATAAACATTTATTATCGGCACAAAGGAGCTACTCACTTTCCGATTTAATTTGGCCATAACTATTCATTCAAAAACTTTCTTCATATCTTATCCAACAAAAAGCCATAGCAGCAAAAACTTTGATTGATTACATTTAAAAACCATTAAAGGATACCGTAACACAACTTCATTCCTAATATGATTCAAGGAGAATACACATCTTTAACTAATCTAACTCTAATACAAGTCTCGCAATTTTCTACGAATTAGATATGAATAAGAGAGGATAATATGCATAACTTTTTCATTTCTTTTCCTCCTTTTTCTCTAACAATTCCAAAACATTCAGATCAACACATCTTTAAATAGCTAACTCTAATACATGAACTCAACACAAGTTAAACTCGACTTAAGGTTAAATAGTTATTAGCAATAACTTTAACTAGTTCCGACTTATTAACCTCAACAAAAATAATTCCCTTTACTTGGGGATTTACAACCAATAATTTATTTTTTTGGTGGAGTATTTGCAAACCTATAGGTATGCTTAGCTAAAATAGGCGCACCTCTTAAGCCATTGACTTCTTTAATGTTCACAACATTAGAAATTTCATTTAAATCCTCTTATGTAAATAAAAAATCCAAGCAAATCCGGGAATCAAACCAATAGTGTACCCAAATTCATGAACCAAAGGAAAAGAATGAACAGAGAACTCAAATTCATTGAAACCAAATAAATTGAAAAATTCATTGAAACCAAATAAATTGAAAAATGTTAATGGTCACTAGCACTTAATTGAAACTGTACGGAGTAACCAATACTTAAAACAGGGACTAGGTTGCGGTTGGGCCAAGTTCGTAACATTGAATTATGAATGCGAAGTTAGATTGTTCAAAAACATCCTAGCTATCTATATAGGTTGAAAAACTATAAACAGATTATTTATCTATTCTTATTAAAAAAAAGAAAGAGAAAAAAATTGTGTAAGAAATTTGCTTCCTTCACCAAACATTGTAAAGTTCCTAAGAATACTCGATCCAAATTAGCCCCTATCAACTCGACCTACCCTTCCACATACCACAAAATCTTTCGAGTATGAAACTCCTAACCGCATATGTGTTAATGAATCTTTATCGATCGAATAATAAATCATGTCTCTTTAATTCACGAACACCTATTTTCATACAAGTCATGTGAAGGAAATGCATCTCGACAAAAAAAACCCAAATTAGACGACATATTAGAAAGGACATATAAGGTAGCCTAATTGCCGAAGTTTATTATTCTCATCGAAAGATCATTCACAACAGACTTACTCTAGCAAATATCTTAAATATGCTGTATTAAATCCACTATTAAAGTCTTTGACTTGAATGAGAAAGCGATAAATCACAATGAGGAGATTTTGTGGGTATTAATTCGAGATAATGTGGGTATTAATTCAGCGATGAGCAAGATTTTATGGGTATTTTACTCGAGCAAGTGAGCAACGACTTATGGAGGCATACATGCTTTTACCAAAATTTTGGGTTTATGTTTTATTTGAAAAATAGCCGACGTTTTTGTTTCATCCTTGTAGGTGTTAAACATTTTTGGACAACTTTCTATTCATCCCAAACGAGATATATGGATAGAAAAGTTCGTCCTTAAATAACTTAATATTTTATGACATATATTGTTGTTCCAAAAAAGTATAATTCTTCCTCCAATAATTAGTTTTCACGACAAGTGAGCGCGATAAGTCAGGTGCGGGGGAGAATTTAGGTGCCAATAATTTAAGGACGAAATATGTTTTTCGTCAAGAAATATTGCTATTTGGGGATGAAACTGAATTCGTAGGCAAACATTTCTTAGCTAAATTTGAAATCTGTTGTAATGTTATCGCATCAAGTGATTCAAATAGTAGTAGTCATATATAGATCCCCATGTCGAGTTTTTGGTCTGTTTAACACAAAAATACACAGCATATCAGGTAAGCCAACAATCACGTTTGCATGTAACTGGAAGATAAATGGGGTTTTGATCACATTTAGACCTTGTATAGTTAAAAATATATATATATATATATTAAAATCCTTTATTCTTTTTTTAGTTTGGTTGAGACTCTTCCCTTTTTGAAATTTATTACTCCATACCCTCCATTATAGCACTACTAGTCAAGATCAACATATCATCTCCACTCTTCAAGATTTTTATTTTATAATGTCATATGTTGATTACTAATTGATAACATTATAATTAAATATTTAAAAAAAATATCGAAGAGTAAAGAATTTCAAAGAAATTAAAAAAAAAATTAAAAATTAAGAGTATAAGTCCAAATATGGAGAAAACTCGTTTATGATTTCTAGGTTTTTGTTTTTTAATTATCATGAGGATGTTTGTGAATTTTGGACTAGACAGTGGGAGATCCTCTTGCCAATTTTTTCAATTGATTTGCATCATAATTGAATATTCCTTTTTTGTTTTTTTCAAACGTAGACATTCCACCTAAATACCTCCTTCAGTTTCTCCTAAATCATAGTCAGTACCGCTTTCTTATCTTACAATGACCAAATTTTGAAAAACTTTATTCATATATATATATATATATGGAAAAGACTTAACCTCTAGCTAATTTAATGGTGTTGATTTGTTGTAATTCTATCCAAAATTTTAGTTCTTACAATAACGGAAACGACTGATCAAGCTATTATAATGGTGCTGATTAGTTGCAATATAGTCTGCTTGGCAAGTATATATATAGCTCATTTCCTGACTAACACGATAAATAAAACCACAAAATTTTATACTCTTCCATTTTTTTTTTTTTTTTTTTGTATCTTTCACTTCATCTTCAACATGGTGATGATAAATAAACACAAAAAGCACACCCAAGGGCGGCAAAAAATAGAGATCAAGCAGATAGAAGAGAAAAGCAATCTACAAGTAACATTCTCGAAGCGCCGTGGTGGTCTAGTAAAAAAGCAAGTGAGCTAAGCCTTCTTTGTGGCGCTCAAGTGGCCATTCTTGCCTTCTCTCCAGGCAAAAAGGTTTTTTCCTTTGGACACCCCAATGTGGACATGGTCCTTGATCGTTATCTCGATGAGAGTTCAACTAATTCTTGGGAACTTGAGGCTGTGCCTAGTGACCCACAAGTTCAACAATGGAACAAGGAGTTCGAGGAGGCACTGAAAGAATTGGAGGAGGAGAAGAAGAAAGTGGCAATGATTGAAGAGTGGAATAAGGTATGTGAAAATGATGGTGATGCGAGGTTTTGGTGGGATGAACCTATTGATGATATGGGGTTAGAGGAGCTTGAGGAATATGTGAGGGCCATGCAAGAGTTGAAGAAGAATGTGGCTTCTAGAGCAAGTGAATTAACCATGGCCAATTATCATTTTGGTAATCAAAAAATGAGTCATCTTGATGTTGAGGTTAACGGATTTAGTCTTGATGGGGTTTTTTTGAAGAATTAGTACTAGAGCGCCAAAGGCGTTAAAGTTCTTGATATGAAATGGTATGTCAAGAGTCGCAATCATAAATGGGATGTCCACTATCTAATGTTAAGAAAATGATGATAGTATGGCAATAAAAATATATATTTTATTCTAAGGATGCATTGGATGTGTTTTAAAATTTTGAATGGCAGCATTTGAAAAAGTCATATTACTTCATATATGAACTCCAAAACCAAAGTTAAAGCCCTTTGCAATATTGGGATGGAATTAGAGTAAGCTCTGGTCATGTAATGGTGGGATCGTATCATAGTTAAAGAGGAAAAAAAAAAAAAACAGTTTTTACGTTTATATAATAGTAGCGAGACACTCTGTTACTATTATTTCCATTACGAATATCCCAATGTTGTTTTACATGAATAATGATAAATAATAATATTATTGTTATGCAATGTCATTATATAAGGGGACTACACATATTTGTAAAACAAAAAAAAAAAACCTAGAATTTCAGTCATTTGAAGAGCTGAAATTCAACCAGAGATGAGAGACTAGAGAAGCCAGACCCAAATTGGAAGAATACGTCAAATTTAATCTTTTTATTTTGAAAAGCAAAACCCACGTGAAGATTAGACTACATTTGCAGGCATTACTAAGAATAAGAATCAAGTAATTGTATTTGCAAACTTTGATTGAATAAATTATAAATCGATACTTTTATTTTGAAAAAATAATTTAGTTAATTCTTTTTATTTCAAAAACCAATAATTTAGTTATTTTTTTATTTTATATTATTTTCTAATTTATTTTTTTAAATTAAATTTATACCATGAAAAAAAGATTGATGAAGAATGAAAATATTTTGTGGAATAAAATCTATTACATTAAACATGATCAATACTAATTAAAAAATTATATAATTAGCTAAAGATGAATTAATTAATTTATCAAAACTAGAGTGACTAATATATAAATTATTCTTTGTTATTCTACTTTGTCCGTCTTGTGCATGGACAAATTAATAGGCTACAAAGCAAATGAAGGCTTTGATTGAGTAAACTATAAATTAGTCTCCTTAGTTTGAAAAAATAAATTAGTTGGTTCTTCTTGTTTTAAAAACTTATTATTTATTTTTTTTTTAATTTTATGTTATTTTTTAATTTTTTTTCAAACTAGTTATGGTTAAGATTTTGATAGATAAGGATCACAACATTAGAAACAAGATAATAACTATTATTATTGTAACACCTCCGACCTAAGACTTAAAGTTGGTCGAGAGTATTACCGGCAATGCTTCACATTCAAAGTGCAATGAATGCAAAACATGAAGCCTAATAACCTTTATAGTTAATATTTATAGCAGAAGTTTTTTAATTTAAAAGTTTAGTTCCATCATTTTATTCATCACACTCGTAATTACAAATTTATTTCGTTAATGCTTCAAAGATAGTTTACAAAAAATCTTTATTTAAACTCAACTCATGAAAACATAATTTTAAATCTCCTAATGAAATATTTGTAGTCAAATCATACTTGTATAAAATAGAAACTAATTTAGTCTTCATAAAACATATTAAGTTGTAAACAACTTTTCTAAAAAAAAGTTATGAAAAGCAACATTTTTGAAATATGCATATGAAAATATATTAAATAAAAATTATCTCAAAAATATTTAAAGTCTATACTCATTTTCATTTAATCAAATTTCCTTTTATTGTCATTTCAGATAAATATATTAATGGTGAAATACTTCATTTAGTCTTTATTAATTTATAAACCAACTTAACATGAACTTCATTATTACATGCATAATAATTTCATCAACCTTTAAATATAAATGTCTATAAAATTCAGCATAGAATACTCAAAACATGTCCATAAGAATAGAAGAAAAGACATATTTGGGTCTTCTATTTTAAACCCGCACTTAAAGTACACTTTTCTCGCAACCTAGGCATCTTATAGCAACAACTTTTACTTCTAAACTTGTTATCTTTTAGTATCTTGCTTTCCTACACCTCATAATTAAATTGAAATGATGAGATAATGCTTAGAAGTGAAGTTCATGTATGCATGTCATGTAATGCTTGATGCATGATACAATAAAATACATTTTTTGTGATTCCGGTGCACCCTATCGAATATATTTATATATATCCGGCTATCATGAAAACTATATCTTTGAAAACCATAAAAAGCACTAGACATGTCCTCTATGAAGCTCGTGACATTCATAATTTTGAACCATGATTGGACTCGTGATCGTGACACCTACAAAGAGTTTATTATTCTCTTTATGTGCCATGATTGAGCTTGTGATCGTAATTAGGACATACCTAGCCATTATCTTGAAAATCTATGCACTTGATTTTATCTTTGAAAACATGATTAAAATCATTTCATAATGTAAATGCAATCACTAACATGGTACATGATCTATGAACTTTAATTAGGCATGTAGGCTGAAATCAACTATCCATGAAACACATGATATTTATTGATGAAGCATTGAACATTGCATACCAAATACTTTCATAAATATATTTGCATGAACAAACATCGGACCATCAAAATGGCCATTAGGCTGAATTTTTCATTCACCATTCCATGACCAATTTCAACATAAAACCAATTAATTACCATATGAATTATTACCAAATAACCATGTCACCGATAACTTGCACAATTATCAAATAACATAACAAACACATTAACACTTACAAAGTATTCATCTTGGCCAAAACTATTAAGAACCAACCAAAAGCAACAAACTTGTCTTAGCCATAATCAAGTATGAAACCAATCAATTTTTATATAAACATATCAACATTCAACTTAAATACCAGATTATCATTAACATGATTATCATTAATCACATGAAAATCTTACTAATTTACTAACAATTTCATACTTGACATTTCTTTCCCAAAAATCCAGATTTGTCTCAAAGACAACAACAATCAATACTTCATCAATTCAATAATTTAAAGGTTCCTACACAAGTACCTTAAATACTAGTTGAACAATTCATAGTGTTTCGGACATAATTCAATTTCTAGACACATAAATTCAAAACATACCCAAAAATCAAATTTAACCTTCAAACACACAATTTATGTTCATTTTTTCAAAAGTTACTCTGCTTCCGGTAAGCTTGTTTCGTGGTAGCCTCTAAACAAGCAAGTAATAGCTCTAGTTTGGACATAATTAGAACTTATCCTTTAATTAGCAGTAACTAGACATATTATTATAAAACATATCCAAAAATTAGATCAAAATACTAAACACATGATTAATAAAATAATTTTAAAATTTAAGAACTAATTTGTTTAGCAAGTAGGTCGTCTAAAATAATCTGCACTTAATCGGATATAACTCTTCATATACAAAAATAATGACAAAACCATTTTATAAAAACTTATAAGATACAAATATCAACAACTTTCATTCTTACAAGTTTACCCAGAAATGAATCTATGACCTATGAACAAGTAGTAGAAAATTCGAGTAAAACCTAATCCTTAAAAACACCGATTCTTATATATTTGATTTTTAGCTTCCAATTCATGTTTCTAAACTTATCCACTATTTTAAACATTAATAACTCTGTAAGGAATCATATGATTATCATTATCAAAGCATATCATGAAAATTGGAACATTAAATCCTAAATTATAGTCTAAGAACACAACCTAAAATCTAACTCAAAATCCATGAAAACTAATGGTTCCAACAATATTTAATCAATTAAAATCATTAGCCTATTTAACCAATTAAAATCATTAGCCTAAGTTCAAGGTTGATGACCAAAATAACAATTAAGTTCAACAACCACAAGTTGGCATGCCAAGTACTCTATTATGTATAATACATGTTTCTAACATTAATCTCCTAATTACCAAATCATTTCAAGTCCATTGAAACCTTAAGATCGCAAAATAATCACTAAAGTATACAATTAAACTATACTTCTCAAAACCCAACTTGGCCAAATGCTTCTTCAAGAGAAACCACTCATAATAAAACCTCAATTAATATATAATCATACTAATTTCACATAAATTATCGCCATACTACCTCATAATTAACCAACTTACACATAAACATCAAACCACCCAATCTAATTATAGATGGGTTTTGGTCGAATATGGTCCCCAACAACACAATCACCAATTTCCCAATCAAACCTTAATTAAGCCGCAATTTCAATTAACCCATTCATCACTCAATTCAAGACATCAACATTCAGAATTCAATTCCACATTTGAGTCATCAATTAAACCTAACATTTACCTAATCTATTAAGTATTTAACCAATCAATTGGAACATCAATAATTATCATCAAGCAACACATCAATTGTATTCAAATAGTATAGATAGAACTTCAGTTACCTCTAATTAGCTTAATCTTGGTCATACTTGAAGAATTTGCAAGCTTTCTCTCACCTTTTCCTCTTGGGTATTTTGACCAATCCAACCAAATTTTCCTTCTCTTTCATTTGGCCATCTCCTCTTTTTTCTTCTTCTCTATCATTTGGGTTCTTGTTCTTCTTATTCTTCTTTGTTTTCTTCTTTTTCTTCTTTCTCTCTTACAATTTCTCTCTTCTCTTTTTTTTTTCTCTCTTACCATTTTCTCTCTATCTTTTCTTTCTAAGTATGTTTTTGGGTAAGTATTTTCTTGATACTTCTTTTGCTTAATCTTTCTCCTTCTCTCTATAATCATTTTCTTGCTTTTTTATTTTTCTTCTTCTCTATAATTCGGTCGGGTTCTTCCTCTTCTTTCTTGCTAACTCATGGCTTCTTCTTCTTCTTTTTTCTCTCATAGTTTTTCTCTTCTCTTTCTTTTTCTCTCTCTCTTATCATTTTCTGTCTCACTCTTTTCTTTCTAAGTCTATTTTTGGATAAATATTTTCTTAATACTTCTTTTGCTTAAGCTTTCTCTTTCTCTTTAGAATCATTTCCCCTTTTTATTCGATAACTATCGCCTCTTCATATATATATATATATATATATATATATA